ATCCTCGCCCCCACCCAGATGGCCTGAGCGCGCCCCGCACCTCATCTCCTGCGGCGTGGGCCGCCCCTGCAGCTCCGCCGTGAGCGCCTCCACGTCTTCCCGCAGCGCCGCCGCGAGCGCCTCCGCCTCCGCCGCCCGCCGCGCCGCCAGGCGGAGCGCCTCGGCCGCGTCGGCGCGCACGCTGCGCGCCGCGTGAGGCGTGGGGTTGATCGAGTCTCCCATCATCAGAGCGCATCTTAATTTGAAACACCAGCAGCGGCATGCTCTTGCTGCAGCCCTCATCCCCCCCCCCCAAAAATGCTCCTTCCTTTTTGAAAGTCAGGGTCCTGTAAAGGCAGCAAGGCATCTGATGCATGCGCCTCCCGATCCTCCCCTATAAACAGCGCTTTCCGCCTCTCTCTCTCTCTCTCTCTCCTCCCCTCGCTTGCCCCTCTGCCTCTCGCTCGCTCGCCTTCTTCTTGCTCTTTCCCCTGCCCCCTCCCTCTCGCTCTCTCCCTCTCTCCCTGGGTCACACACAAACACACATGCACACAAATGTATATACACCAACGTCACTCACATTGACACACGCATCACCCACCTGCTTAGCTCCCGCTGCAGCTCCGCAGCCTTGCGCCGCTCCCGCAGCGCCGCCGCGCCCGCCCCCGGCTCCGCGCCAGCGGCCGCCGCCGCCGCGGCGCGCCGCTCAGCCTCCTGCGCGGCGCGGTCCCGCGCAATAAGCAGGTTCTGGGCGTCCCGCAGCTGCCCCGCCAGCACCCTGGCCTGGGGGCGTGGTGTGGAGGGGTGGTGCGCATACGCCGAGGTGCGGCGTCACCAGAGTTGCGCGTCGTCACAGTGGTTCGGTGGTCGGGATGATGAGGGGAAGGCGCATCAACCACACAGGGCCGTCGAATCGGGCGTCCGCCGAAGCGTCGGATCACAGCGTCAGATCAGATCAAGTCAGATCAGATCAGATCAGATCAGGTCGCGCACCTCCTGCTTGAGCACCGAGAGGTCCCTCTCCAGCGCCTCCCGCTGAGTCTCGTAGATCCCGACGATCTCGACCGGCCGCAGCTCCCGCGCCGCCGCTGCGACCGCGCCCGCGGCGCCGCGCCCTGCGACACCGCCCGCCGCGGCGGCGGCGACGGCGGCGTCGCGCTTCGTCGCCGCGTGCGCCTGGCGCAGCCTGTGGGGGGCGGGCGGCGGCGGCGGGCATGTGCGTGGGTGCGTGCGTCGGGGCGGCCGCTATCGGCGGGTGTATGGGGTGCTCAGGTGAAACGCAGACTTGTGGGTGAGGCCTGGCTGCCCCCTCCTCTTTGTGTCTTGGTGGCACCTACACGCTGTGACGCACAGCCCCTTGCCCCCAACAAGGCTCACCTCCCTTCTCCACGCTCCCTTTGTCAAACGAAACAGGCGCGCGGGCACGCAGGCACGCATGAACGTGCTTGCAGGCTCAGGACCACACACACGACTGCACACTCACACGCACATACAACTACACACACACACACACACACGCACCTGGCGTAAGCCGCCTTATCGTGCGCCAGCCGCCGCTCCTCCCGCGCCACCTTGTCAGCCAGCCGCTCCCGCAGCCGCTCGCCCTCTGACTCTTTGGCCTTGAGCCCGTGGTCCAGCAGGGACACCTTGTAGCGCAGCTGCATTGGATGGGACACGCGCATTTATGCAACGGATGACGTGTGTGGGGCGGAGTTGGGCTCCGCTGATTTGTGGATTGTCGCGTTCGCTCGTTTGGAGGGGAGAGGGGGCCAGGAGCAACCAGGGCCATGTGCGGCGGCGGGCTGCCGAGCGGTTGGGGCGCTCGCCGCGCTGCCGCTGCGCCGTGGTGGGGAGGAGTGCGGCGCGCGGCGCGGTGGAGGGCGTGGCCGCGCAGGCCTTGAGCGGCGCCTTGGCTTGTGTGACTGCGACGTCACCGGTCAAACGGCCCAGCTGACGAACACACACTCACACAGAAAAACACTCGCGCACACATGCACACATACGCATATGCGCTCATAAACACACACACACACACACACACCTGCACCAGGTCTGCCTCTGCGTCCGCGAGCGCCCCCTCCGCCCTAGCCGCCCGCGCCAGCGCCGCCGCCAGGTCAGCGTCAAGGC